CCCCCCTCCCCTCCTCCCCTCCCTCCCTCGCCCCCCCCTCCCCGCCCCCGCCAGCATTTAGCCTGCGCCATTCCTGCTCAGGGGCAGTGCGCGCTAGGGCGGGGAGGGGTCCAGACCCCTGGGGGAGAGATGCAAGCGGGGTAGGGGGTGCTGCAGGGGGAGTGCGACCCTCCGGCTTCTGTCTTAGCGGCCGGGAGGCGTCGCCCCCTCTCTCCGCCCTCCCCCTGCCACCCTCCCCCCCTCCCTCCCTCCCTGCCCTGGGCACCCTGGCTCTCAGCCCCCGAGGCGTTCTGACGTGTGCAGCCGGGCTTGGGGGGAGGAGGAGGAGGAGGAGGAGGGGAGGGGGTGGGTGGGGGCCAGCCGGCGCCTTTTGGGGGGGCCGAGAGGGCAGGAGAGCTGCGAGCAGAGCCCAGCCCAGCCGGAGGAAGGGGGGGAGGGTCCCGCCTGCCATCCATCCATCCGGACGGGGCCCCCTTGTTGCCTGCCCGTCTCCGTCTCGCCCCCCTCCCTCTTTTGTGTCTGGCGCTTGGACCTCCAGCGGCCAGGTAGGAGGCAGCTGGGGGGGGGCGCGAGGGCTGGAGGGAGGGGGGGAGGAGGGTCTTTTCATTCCAGCCGGAGATTGTGAACCTCCAAGAGAGAGGGAGGGTAGGGCGATGGAGAGGGGGCGGGTGGGTTAGTGGGGAGAAAGAGAGGGGGAGAGGAGGAGAGGGAGGGAGAGTAAAAGGGAGGGGGAGAAAGCGGGGGAGAGGGAGAGGGAAAAGAAAAGAGAGGAGGAAAGGGGGAGAGGGAGAAGGAGAGAAGGAAGAGACGGAGGGAGATCGCAGCAGCGCTCAGCGCTGCTGAATCCGGAGACGCTCCGGTTTGGATCCCTCCTCATTCGGTTTTCTTCTCTCCCCCCCCCTCCCCTCCCCTCCTAGGCTTCTCCTCCAGCTCCTCCCCGCCTCCACATCGGGAGCCAAACCAGGTTCGGGAAGCGGGTTGCGCCAAAGGAGGGTGACACCGTCTCGCCGGTGGCAGCAGCTGCGCGGCCGGGAAAGATGGGGCTCCGCGGAGGCGCCGGATCTCCCGCTGGGGGGGCTCCTCCCGCGCTCCTCTGACCGGGACCGAGAAGGAGGAGACCCTCCCCACCCACCCGACCACCCACCCAGCAAGTCTGCCCCTCCGGACCGAAGCTGAGCGATTGGCAGGAGACGGATCTCCCCTCCGAGACCCCGGGTGGGTGGGGGGCTTATTCCGGGAGGCCTGGGGGGGTCCCCCGAGCTGGGGGGGGTCCCCCAAAGCAGAGCTGGGGAGTTGGGGCAAGAAGATTGCCGCCGAGAACCAGGGTTAACATCTGGGGGAAAGAAGCGCTCCGTCTACTTCTCAGCAGAAGGAAAGAGAGAGAGGTTGCTGCTGCCCCCCCCCCGCCCTACTCCTCCCCCCCAAAAAAGAAGCTGCTGCAGAAGATCCAGGCACCTGTTTTGCGGTGTCCTGAGCCTCCTCGCTCCAACTGCCTTTCTGGAATGATGGACTTCGGGATTTCTGTGTTCTGCTCCACTCAATTCATCCTTTCTGCCTGAAACTGACCGGACCTGGTTCTCTACCCAGGGCATCTTGGCCTTCCCTCCCCAATTTTCTGCTTGCTTCCTCGCTTCACACAGTGCCCTGTCGCCAAAGGCTGAAGCTGCAAGTTTGGGGCACTAGGAGAGAAGAGCCCTTCCACATCCCTGGGAAACGGGACGCTACTCCTGACCCACCCTGGGGCACCCCAACGTGGTGAGAAGCCTGCCAGCCGCCCATGCCTGGCCCACAGAAGCTGGCATCATGGCACGGCCTGCTCCAGGAGCGCTGCTCTTTGCCAACGGGTTGGGCTTCCCTCCCAGTAACGTGGCCCGGGTCGTGGTATGGGAATGGCTGAACGAGTACAGCCGGTGGAGGCCCTACACGGCGGCTGTCTGTCACCACGTTGAGAACGTCCTGAAAGAAGATGCTCGGGGCAGTGTGGTGCTTGGGCAGGTGGATGCCCAGCTGTCTCCGTACGTTATAGATTTACAGTCCATGCATCAATTCCGGCAGGATACAGGTAAGCCTCGCCACCCCCGTCATGGTAAACATTGCATGGAGGAGGAAAAACCTTCCCTTAATCATAATTGAAATTATGTACATGCGGGGTTTAGTCGATGGAGAGGAGAGGGAGAGAGGGGGAACCCTTCGGGCTGAAAAACAAGACAGATGGAGAAAACAAGCCTGACTTACTAGATTTCTACCTGGGAAGCATCCCTGTCATGCTAGTTTTCCACCTGCAGGGAATGGGACGTAGGAAGAAGAGCCTTTGAATCACGTTTCTCCAATTTGGGTTCCCTTCGGTGACAGCAAAGGTCCTCTCCAGCTGCTTCTCCCCTTGGCTAAAATTCTGGGGAGTTCCAGACATTCAGCAAGATTCAGACAGAGGCTGAGTGTTTTAAACCATCTATTGTAGTTTGCAGGGGTTGATTTTAGAAAGGCTGTTTACTCCGCAGTTCTGAACAATGTAGGAGCCAGGGCAAAGATTTGGGCACAGGGAATAGAATAGAATAGAATAGAATAGAATAGAATAGAATAGAATAGAATAGAATAGAATAGAATAGAATAGTTTTATTGTCAAGAATAGAATAGAATAGAATAGAATAGAATAGAATAGAATAGAATAGAATAGAATAGAATAGAATAGAATAACAGTTTTATTGTCATTGTGTAACTCACAACGAAATTAAGTTTCTTAATGGCCTGGGAAGACATTGGGCTGTTGAGTCCTGAGATGTATTTTTTTTTTCACGCAAATCTCCATCTTTTAAGTTGACGCCAGACTGTGGTCCTTGCAGAAGAGTGCTGCTCGCAATGGCTAGAAGGGCGGTGTGATCATAACAAAGCTACTAGCAGTAGCAACAAAGACCTTTAAGACTGAAAATACGAGGCTTACGCCCAGTAGATAATTTGGACGTTTAAGGTACTCAGGGGTGAGCAGAAAATGCAGATGCCTCCCTGATGCTTCGGTGTTTCGCCGTATGAGTATAATTATAAAGAGAGAGAGAAAAAATAATCCGGGTTTATTGAGTTCATAAACACTCAATACACTCAGCACTCAATAATCTCAATAATCCGGGTTTACTGAGTTCATAAACACTCAATACAAAGAAGTGGGGTAGGATTGGATTAAGACAGTGTCTGGGAAGCCCCCCCCCCCCAATCCCACCCTTTGCACCACCACCATGATGGAGCATTGCAGGCTGATAGCCAGTTATGCCATCCTACACCCATGGAAAGCAACGGGGTGACTAATTGACGTCCATAGGACCCCCTCTCTGCAGTTTAACGCGGGTGTAGAATTTTGCCCAGCTTTGAACTGGAGTCGTGTGGGCGGATTTTGGCGTTCTTTGCTCCTGTGTGTGGAGCTGCCGTTGCCAAAGATGTGGCCGTCCAAGGGTTTTAAAAAAAGAAAAAACAGATCGGTTTTTCAAAACAAAACAATGCCTCTGAGCCTGGACCCCCGATGGCAGCCTGAGCTCCTGCGGATGAGAAGCCAAGCCTTCGTCCTCTGATTTGGGGGTGCCCTGATAGATTTGTGCATAGAGGGGGGGGAGTCTTAGGGAAACCTAAGAACCTCAGTCTGATAGCCCCTAGAATCCTTTGTCTGAAATGATATAGCGTTTCCTGGCTGAGCAGGGTTGGACTAGAAGACCTCCAAGGTCCCTTCCAACTATTCTATTCTATTCTATTCTATTCTATTCTATATTCTGTTCTATCCTATCCTATTTTATTCTATTCCTTTTCTATATTCTATTCTATTCTATTCTATTCTATTCTATTCCTTTTCTATATTCTATTCTATTCTATTCTATTGTTCTATATTCTATTCTGTTCTATTCTATTCCATTCTATTTTTTTCTATTTTCTATTTCTCTTCTGCTTTGCTGCAATAGACAGTGGGGTGCAGCTCTGGAGTGGAAAATAAATCACTTGAGAACAAGCTTCTAGATCTCAGGAGGGCAGGGAGTGAACGGCTGGAATTGCACCTGGATGAAAGCAACAGGAACCACTGTTTCATAGCGCCTCTTTGGCCCTGTCTTGGCTCTGCGGCTTCTCAGTCTGAAAAAAATACAGACCTAGAGAAGATTTAGGGATGGAAATGGAGCGGTAAAAGACTGGAGTGCCTCTGTGAACACGCAGAGTGCTTTCTCCTTCCAGTTTGCAGAGGTAGGGGACGAAGATAAACTGTTTGAGACAGGGTCGAGGTGTCCCCTTCCGGGATATCTGCAGAGCTTAGCAGTAGAATAGTCCTCGACCCGCAAACACAATTCAGCCCCAAATTTCCTCTGCTAAGCAAGGCAGTCATTAAGTGAGTGTTGCCTCACTTTACGACGTTTCTTGCCTCAGTTGTTAAGTGAATCACTGCAGTTAAGTTAGTAGCACGGTCGCTAAGCAAATCGGGCTTCCCCTGTTGACTTTGCTTGTCAGAAGCTTGCCGAAGGGGATCACATGACCCCGGAGACGCTGCGACCGTCATAAATATGAATCGGCTGCCGAGCCGATTTTTGATCATGTGACCCTGGGGAGGCTGCAATCGTCGTGTGAAAATTGGTCAAAAGTCACTTTTTTTCCAGTGTCGTCGTAACTTCGAACCGTCACTAAGCGAATGGTTGCAAGTCAACCATTGTGTGTATTGTGTTAAAGAAATCAGATCGAAGCCCGTCTCCGTGAAATTTCCCCGAGTGACCCCGGGCCAGTTGTTATTGTCTTTTTTGTACGCTTTGACTACCTCGCAGGGCTGTTCTGAGGCTCCAATGAACAGCGTTTGTCGGGTGGGGAAATACAGGCAGCCCTCGACACACAGCCACAACTGAGCCCAAAACTTCTCTTTGCCAAGTGAGACTTTTGTTAAGCGAGTTTTGTCCCAATTTTACGACCGTTGTTAAGTGAACCCCTGTGGTTGTTCAGTTACTAACACAGTCGTTAAGCGAATCCACCTTCCCCCAGTGACTTTGCTTGTCTGAAGGTTGCAAAAAGAGATCACATGAGCCAGGGACACTGCAACCGTCCTAAGTACATGTCAGTTGCCAAGCTTTTGAATTTTGATCACGGGACCACAGGGATGCTGAAACGGTCGTAAGTGTGAAGACAGGTCCCAAGCTCTTTTTTCTCAACGGCTTTGTAATTTCAAATGGTCACTAAGCGAACGGTTGTAAGTGGAGGACTGTCTGCCTATATTGCTTTTAGGCTTATCAGGAAAAGATCTGGAGGTTACGAGCTGCCAATTGTATTTGTTTCTGGTTTGGTTTGGTTTTTTCCCCCTCTCCGCTAAATTCACGCAGGGATCTTGTTTATTTTCATCTTTGGGGGCAAAAGAAATCCAGAGGGGACCGCTGAAATCTGTTTGCCTAAGCTCCAACAGGTGTGTGTGTTTGTGTGTTTGTGTGCACACAATAGAACTGAAAATCAGCTGAGCCATCTTTTTACCTGCCAGCCTTTAAACCTTCACGCCTGGCAGACTTCGAACATCCTTATTTAAATCCCTTTATTTAAAAACAACAAAGCCAGACAATTGTTCAAAGCTGACTTGACAGACTGCAGACCAACCTACCTTTTTCTAGGGGACTGGACTACACTCCCCATCATTCTTTGCGCTGACCCTCAGGGCCTGCAACAGGGATAAGGTCCAAAAAGTCAAAAAGAACAGCCCAAACGGTATCTTCCTTTTTGAACACAACACCCTTCAAAATACAGTCCTCGACTTACTACGGTTGCTTTTTGCGACCGTTCCAAAGTTACGACGCCACTGAAAATAATTTTGGCAGGTTCTCCTTTCAAAAACGCATGGTGACATTTTTCTGGCCGGTTTGAAGCCAACTATCGTTGTCTCTCACCTTTGGCCTGGTGGGAATTTGATAAATCCAGGTCTAAAAATCCCCTTTCTCCATCTTTCCCCAAATTTGCAAACCTCCAATTTCAGTCTTCACCTTCCGTTGGGCAGATACGATGCTCGCCAACCTGATGGATCAACAGCACCCTTCCAGTTGGGCAGGTGTTGCACCTCTCGGCCTGACTTGAAGAAAATAGAGCTGGGTTTATTCCCAGGAGGGTGCGGGGTGTGTGTGTCCGTGTGTCACACTAATTCTCCCTTAGTGACGAAGGTCCCACTGGAAAACAAAAAACAACAACATCTCTTGTTTAGTTCCCTTGCTTGTGACTCCCTGGGGGTCCCTGAATTAGGCTCGCTCATCATCAACAGCTTCCCTGCAGTGGTCCCCTGGCCCCTTCCCCTAAGAGTGTGTGTGTGTGTGTGTGTGGTTGGGTGTTTTTGTGTCTCTCTGTGTGTGTCTCTCTGTGTGTGTGCAGCGATCTCCCTCTGCAGAAAGCACAATGTTTTCAAAACATCCGAGATGCAGCTGCGCACCTCGCACCAAGCTTTGGAGAGGGGGGGGTTTGATTCGGAAAGATTTCATCAGCCACCCGCTTTGCAAAAAAACAACAACACAACATCTGTAACTCCAAAGAGAAGAATTGATTTGCAACAATTATCCTAGAGGGAGTTCACAGGTTGGGTTTAACCAGAGAGACACACAAAGATTTTCTTTCTTTCTTTCTTTCTTTCTTTCTTTCTTTCTTTCTTTCTTTCTTTCTTTCTTTCTTTCTTTCTTTCTTTCTTTCTTTCTTTCTTTCTTTCTTTTTTTCTTTCTTTCTTTCTTTCTTTCTTTCTTTCTTCTTTCTTCCTTCGTTTCTTTCTTTCTTCCTTTCTTTCAGATAATGTTATTGAAATTTTTAAATATAAGGACAAACTCAAAGAGGGTAAAAAGAGAAAAAGAAAAAGAAAAAACGAACTAAAAGAGAAGGAGTAGCAGAAAAATAGCAAAGAGAATTTTTTTTAAAAAAGAAATGCCTTCCAATCATCTTTACAGCAGTTATATAACTTCAGGTAGACCTTGCGTTACAGTCACAACTGCCTTGCTTAGCGACAGAAATTCTGGTCCCACTTTGTGGTAGTAAGTCAAGGACTACTAGTAAAACATTTTGAGTATCTTGGCATTTAAGAACTAAAGTGTCATGCTC